ATGTTCTCATTTTATGGCGTTTTCTGTGACAGACCAGCAAAATGTAGCACCAAAAAAATGAAGTGGTTGTGCTTCACTTTGATGTCGCTAAATAAATTCCAGCACAACCAGTTACATTTAAAAGTCAGCTAGTTAGTAAAACCAGTCCCAATGTGTGTTTCATTTAATCTCGGCATAAATCCAGATTTTCTGTTAGGCCTCAGAGGTTACCATGCTGCACAGTGCTGAGTGCTGTCCACCCATTGTTTGCAGCCACAGCAGGAATACTGTCTTACAGAAATAATTACCTCTTTAACTTCTGTTCATACTGTCACATTACAGCCACAAACTCCTATGGATTTTATGTGATGGCTGAAAACAAATCATGTTTTAAATGCCAATGGGTGGATTTGAAGTCAGGTCTTTGACTTTAAGTCATTTATCATTTTCTTCCCTGTATTGTTATAAAAAGTCATTTAATCACTTTGAAGTTGGTGGTTTTCACGTGTTGGGAACAGAACGCGGCAAAGTTCAAGGGGTGTAAATACTTTTCCAAGACTTTGAGATAAGATGTCTGTGAAGAAAGCATTGGGATCATTCCATCTTTTATCATCGGCGCTAAGCCGCTGCTCTCCTCGACTGTTTCTGGGTCACCAGCAGAACTGCGACAGAAACAGACAGGAAGAAAACTTTGAGTAATGAGAATTTAAGGATTTAAGGCAGCATGGTGCTTTTAATCGTCACAGACAAGCATTTATCTCAGTAGAGCTCTGCTGCCACACTGGCACAAAAAATGGATGAATCATATTTGTCACATAGGAGCATCACTCTATAGGGGGCGCCAAAACGATGATGGAAAAAACATTGGTCAACAGCCAAAATGTCGTCTGGGTTTTTCAACTGTTTTAGGGTCATTTTGATGAGCTGAATCCAAAAATCGCATTGGTTTTGCTCCATTAGATCAACTTTCTGATCTATGGAGCAACATGAGCATCAAAACTGATGACTTGTTCTCACATCTGGAGAATCTGGGATCAATGAGTGATGAGCAGGAGGAGATTCCATCAGGACAGAAAAGAGACGGAGAATTTTACACAATGAAGACGTGACGTTCAATTCACATGTACATTCACATTATCAGTGTTTGCTATTCAATTTACAGAAATCCAAGTTTGTAACATTTAGTTACATTTTACAAACCTTTTTTTGGATGAGGAGTATAATGGAAATGAACTGATAATGTCATCAATTTAGTCAGAAGATCTATTCCAATTGGTACAAAAACTTGATGTCATTTTTGGATTCAGGGGTGCAAAATAGTCCAAAATATTCAGTTGGAAAAACAAAGACAACTTCCAAAATATATATTTTTGTAACCAGTGTAATTTCTAGTCCTTTTTCTGTATTTAACAGCCGTTTTGTGCAAGTGTAAATATGATCAATAACACCTCTCTTTCTTTCTGTCGCTCACACAACACACACACACACGGATGCGTCCATACAAATGTACATAATTCCTCACAATGTCAAATAACTGTTTCTCAACAGTATCTATGTCTCCTGCAGATACAAAAACTAAATAATGGAAGAAAAATGTCAACATTGCTTTCTGAGAGCAGTTCTGCACAAAACATGGCAACAATCTTCTGACCAATCACACAACACTTTGCACAGAGCTCTGGAGAAACGGTCCAACCAGGGCCTGGTGTTTAGTTTGGCTCTTTGCGAACAAGTGATGTAGTTTTTGTCACGCGTCTACATCAATGAAAGCAGATTTCTGCACTTCAGATGAAGCCTGTTGGAGCCTTAAAGGCTCTTGCAGAACAGTCTCGTTTTCATTTAAATCATGTCGTCACATGAAGACTGAGAACTAAACACGGAGAGGCAGGAAAGAAAACTTTAAGGGCCATAAAACAGAAGAAAGAGAGAACCTGTAATGTGTTCGGATAAACCTCACAAAGTCTGTTAGTGGTTCTAAACTCTTATTGTTCCAATTTTCAGTGCAGTTTTTGCTGATGTCTCATCAAATAAAAAAAATAAATAAATACATTTTCTTTTGTGCTCTTCAGCCTGTATACTTCCAACAAGACGGCAACAGCCGCCTTCAACATGCCTTTCGCCTCTCCACCTTTAAAAAGGAAACGCGGGCGACCACGGCGAACCCCGAAGCCCCCCCGACCGGAACTGCCCCCTCCTCCTCGGCTCCCAGATGCAAGCGTCTCGGACACGGAGATGTTCGGCGCCCTGCCGGGGCTCCACCCCACAGACATAGTCCACGGCATGGACCCCAACACCCAGCTTTCCCACCTCAAGAGCTCCATCAGCAACTACTTCGGGGTGGCGGGCCGCCTGGCATGCGGGGAGAGGTATAAAGTCCTGGCCCGGCGGGTCACCATGGACGGCAAGGTGCAGTACCTGGTGGAGTGGGAAGGAGTCACTGCCTCGTAGCTCGATGGCTCAACCAGTTGTAACAAAGAGCTGACGGTGTGTATTCAGAGCGTTAGGTGGTTATATGCCCTGATCATCATGCATGCAAACACACACACACACACACACACACACACACACACACACACACACACAGGGTATGTTCTTCAACAGTGAAGCAGCACCAGAGAAGCTGGATCACTGGATCCTTCAGAGCAGTTTGATCTGAACTTCTTCCTTCCTGCTGCAGTTATTCAGGGGCAAATAATTCCTCTCTCCACTCTACCTGTAAACTTTGACTAATATTTCATGCATCTTGTTTTTTTTGTTTCTCCCCCTAAATATACTTGCTTGTTCTTCAAAAAGTTCAATAGTAAAAGAGGGGGAAAAAATCTCTATTTTCATTCTTTGATTCAACCATCAATAATTTTAACATTACATTTTTTCCTTTAACTCATTTTAAATATTTAGTTTTTTGTTTTTTCTCTCTCTCCCGTCTTGTACCTCTTGGTGTCTCATGCCAGCTCTGGTTCCCATTATTTGTGAGCAGATCAGGAGGAACTCAGAAAACGAACGCGCTGCTGCAAATGTTTATTTTATATAAAACTATACCACAAACATGATTGTCATATTTTTATAGTGGTCTTTTGTTTACCGACGGAGATTTCGGTTGATTTTTTTACTTGCACATGCTGTGTTTTGTTAGAAAATCATCTCATTTGAACAAGCAAGAACTGCTCAGACAAGGCAGTATTTTTTTATTCAATATTTTTATATATTTCCTACTGAATAAAAATGTGCAGTTCTTTTTAAAGTCTTCTGATTGAAATTATGACTTCAGTTGAACAGACCTGAGTTTGGTCTAGTAAAAATTCATTATGCTAGGAATGTGATTTAATCAGTTTCTAACTTTATCTGCTGCTGCTTATGCAATTAAGGTTGCATAAATGAACAAATATTCTTCCATAGACAAAAATGTTTGTTTTTTTTTGTTACATTTTGGGCAGCCCACTCAGGACATACCACCAAACTTCACTCACACAGCCCAGCCGGTGTAACTAAGCCGATTTTGCGATGGATCACGTTATTTCTGTTGTTCATGTTGATTTCTCATAGCTTTTTGTCATTATTACACATATATAAGCTTATATTTTTTATGTTTACTGCTTGTTTTAAATTGGGTTTGAAAGAAGAATCCGCCTCACTGAAGAAATTGCTGTACGTCATTGCAAGAAGAAAACCTTTAGTTAGAACTGTTCTCTCTTTTGAGAGATGTTTCTGCCTGTTAAAACGGCACTTGCACGTCTCCTTGTTGGGGACGCAGTGAGTGGATTTAATGGCAACATGTTTCCATTACTGACTTGCTACAGGTTTTTTAAGCCAAAGAACGTCCCTGTAACGTCGTCTTTGTCTTTTTACTGGTTGACGTGTTACTAGTGAAGCAGTTTTTTTTTTTTTTTTTTTTGCTTGTTTTGTTTAGGGATAAATAAAAGTTGGTATTTCAAGCTGTTTTGCTAAACATGATTTTTTTTTTATTACTGATATTAACTGTATATGATTTTTTTCTAATAAAATTAAGATCCATGACTGTAAATGATCTTGTCATTTGTAAATTGACAAGTTTTAGGTAGAAATGTGCTTTATCTCATTAGCCAAAAATAACGGTAACAAAATGCTTTATTTAATGTCCTTGAAAATGGCCGCTGTTCCGATTTCAGCTAAGCATCCCAGAACCTCATTCTGAATACTTTTGTTATTGTATTTTGCATTTCTGGGATTTGAGGCATTGGATTTGCTTTTGAAATCTAAAAACTCATGATTTTGACCTCGCTTTGAAAGGTTTCTGTATCATGTCCATGTTGAGAAATGTTTTCTGTCAAAAGCAACATTTTTACCTCAAGCTTTAATGTAATTTTGCTTTTTAATATTTTATTAAAAAGCAGAGGCTTCTGGAAAAACAAGTGATTAGTTTTTAGAAGTATGATTTTAAGAACATAAAATTTGGAGAGAGGGGTGGGACTCCCCTCCTTGGGTGTGAGCCATTTGCCATCTGGAGAGAAGAGCAATGGGTGCACCCAATGTGGCTGATAGACATATTTGGGCTGAGGCAGTAAAGGGGATTTTGAAAGTGATTGATGATCCCAGTGTCAGAAAAGCATACATAGCATGTATAATTGTATGTAAACAGATCGGAGTAGAAGTAATGGTGGAGCTGTGGTTTTGTGACACTGTGCTGTCTCTGGCTGGTGTACTGTTAAGGAATATCCATCCATCCATTTTCTTTACACCCTTGTCCCTTAGTGGAGTCGGGAGGGTTGCTGGTGCCCATCTCCAGCTAATGTTCCGGACGAGAGGCGGGGTCACCCTGGACAGGTCGCCAGTCTGTCGCAGACTGTTAAGGAATACTCCCTCAAAATAAACCTTTCACTCCTCCCCAATTTCTGCGTATAACTGTGTGACGGCGAAAGGAAAACGACTCGACCCCAACCCCAAGACGCGCCGTTGTTCGCGGACGCTGTTGTATATCAACCAATCACCTGACGGAATGGCTTAGCTATCCAATTATAAAGTACGTTGTTGGCATGTGGGCGGAGACTAAAATTACAAACCGTTCTGCCTCGATTTCCAGTAACCCGAGAGATTTATTGAAATATAGTTCAGAAACAAATGCTTTTACCTTCTTATCCTCCGGTCATGTAAGGTAATAGTTCAGACGAAGCAGAAATGATGTATGGTGTTTAATTAACTGCTTTTATAACAAAAAACAAGGCTAATGTTTACTAGCTAACCACCTGTTTGTGTGAAGAGCTCCTCTGTTTACATTCATGTTAGCGTCGTTTAGTGGCAGCACAGTGTTCGTTTAAAATTGCAAAGAGATGCATCTTTTTATTTCAACTTTAGACATGTAGACATACAAAAAGCTAGATAAAGTTAACTTTAGTAACACTGGTCGTTATTTAAGCTGAGGAAAGACAGTCAGGCGGTTCTGTTTTGATGTTTGACATCGAGGAGAAATTCAACAAAGATGTGTTCGGCCTGCACAGCCTGATCCAGGGAGCTGAGCTCTGCCACCAGAGTGTGGGACAGAAACTGAGGTGAGTAAAGATCAGAGGTCTAGAATTACGTCTCAGTGAATTACTGTGACTATGCAGAAATTGGAGGAAAATGTACAACAATTTTAAGATTTGTATCTAGTTATATATTGACGTTGAAGTTTTTCACATTTTGTAAAGTTATGACAAAATATTGTTTTATTGAGATTTTATATTAAAGACCAGGGGCCTACAAGCCATTTTTTTAACCCTTAGTTCACCTGAATAAAACTGTAGAACTGAAAATGTTAAGTTTTTTTCATCTTTTATGTTTGTATTATAATTTTTTTTAAAGAACCACAATTTTATATCTATTTTTAGATTTTAAAACAAATTAAAACTTGCAGACCTTTTTAAAACCAAACCATACCATGTTCCTGCCTCTCTGTGTCCAGCCTGTAGGGATGGCGTCTGCTGCTGCGAGAAAGAAAGGCGGCTGTGTTCGCCAGGAGAACGCCTGCCTGATCACAGATGAGCAGTTCCGCAGCAACCTGGACGCCCTGCAGTTTGAACCAGAAGCTTCCGATCTGCAGGTTGGACATGCATCCAGCCCATCTAACCCCCCTCACGCAGACACTCGCATAAAAGAAAAGAGAAGTGTGCTTCAGTTCCATGGTTGCAGTGATACATTAGTGTTTTCTTTGGCAGGTCCATCACAGCCTCTCCAAGGTCATGGTTAGCAGCAGCATGGCGGCCATGAGCGAACACATCCATCAGCTGGAAGCTGAGCTGGAGGCTCAGACTGAGGAACTGAAGTAAGCTCATTGTTCTAATGCAGGGGGTCAAACTCATCTTCATTTTGAGCCACAAGGGCCATGAAGGGACATTCACAAATCTTTGAATGCAAACTCCCTTTGCAGTTGTGTCAGAATGTGTCGATCAAACTACATGAATTGAATTGAATTTATTGTCAATTCTCACTATGCTTTTTCTGCATTTGATGAGTACCCTTTAAATATAATTTTAACATGTTTTCTACAATGATATAATTTGACACTATTCAAATCAGAACTGATTTGATTTGACTTGTCAAATAAAGTCTAGACTCTTGAGGGCCACAGAAATGGCTATGATGGGCCAATTTTGGCCCATGGGCCTCGAGTTTGGAAAAGGCTCCGTTTCACTTATAAAACACTAGTTTTCAGAAGACGTTTTCAGATTTTTAATAAAAGAAATCTCTGATACACTGGAAATCAGAAGTTTACATACACTGAATACAAAGACACATGCACATCTGATGTTAGATCAGACCAAACTTCTCTTGTTTTAGGTCAGCTAGAATTACCCGAATTATTTTTATTTTCTAAACGCCACAATAGTAAGAGAAATAATCTGTCACATTTATTCATTAATGTCTGACTTGCTTAGTTTAAACTCTGCAGTTTCCATTGTCCATGTTTTATAGGGCAGCGGAGCTGAGGGCGGAGTCCTGCCAGGAAGCTGCCGCTCACAGTGAGGCTGTGGTCGCCACGGTTACCGAGGAACTGAGGACGCTGAGAGAGGAGCTGGAGAGCAGAACAGTGACAGGAAAGAGGTGGTGGTTTTAGACCTGCTTCCACCTGGAAGTAAACGAGGGGTTAATTATGATCCTGATTGTATTTTGTTGAGCTCAGGCAGTGTTTTTCAAAGTGTGGGTCGCGGCCCCTCGGGGGCCGACAGGGTGCGCTGTGAGCGCCTCAGAAAGTTGGAGAGAAGATTAGAGAAAAACAATTTAGCCGCATAAATTTTTTAATCTTAAAATTTTCATCATCATTTTTGTTTTCTTTTATTCAGTCTTTTTTTTTTAAGTACAAAATACAAGTTAAAATAATTGATTTAAACGTTATTTCTAATGCTCATCGTCTGATTGGCTGCCAGTCAAGCTGCTTTGCGTCTTCTGCCAGATTAGCAAGCAAGAAATTTAAGTTTCTGACAAGAAAAAAAACAAAACAAAAAACACCAAGGAACCGTCCAGCAGCCTGCTTCAAAGAACCAGAAGAATTGTCGGAATAAAATACATTTTGATGTGATTAATATTAAATATTATACGTCATCTTATAATCAAAAGAGTGGATTGTGATGACAAAATTGTGTCATCTGGTAATTAAATTTTTCGCCACAGAATTTACGATCAAAGCTATCAGGTAGCATTTCTGCTAACTAAATGTAATAATTAATCAATAGAGGATAAAAGACATTGTAAAAGTTGATGTTGCTTTAAATATTTTGTCTCATTTTCTGTGAGTTAATCCTCTTTGGGGTTACATGTTTGGGAACCCCCTGATCTAAACTCGCCTCTCTTCTCAGAGCTGAGCAGCAGAGGAACCAAGCTCTGCAAAATGCAGAGAAACTCAAAGAAGCTTTCGATGATTACAAAGACACATTTTCCATGAAACTCCAAAAGGTAAATTTTTACTCAAAATTGTCTCATTTTATGACAACTAAAAACCTTTTCTTGCTTGTTGACACCAGAGATGTTTTGTCATTTTGGCATTGGAGGTGGTGGAGAGTGAGATTATGCTGAAGGAGAGTCTGATGGAGTCCAACAGAGAAAAGCAGGAGTTGGAGGTGAAGTTTTCTGTGCTGGAAAAGGAGCGAGCTGAGCAGAGCCAAACGGTTAGGTACTGAGCGCCTTCTGTTGAGTAGAAACATAAAGAAAGCTGTCAGCGCTGCTTTTCCCCATCATGCGCTTCACCGGCGGCGTTTTGTTTTCCACGCAGCCAGCTGCAGGAGGAGCTGAGGCAGGGCGGAGCGGCTGCGGCTCTCCTCCAGGCCCAGCTGGAGCAGGCGGTGCGCAGAGCCTCCCAGCTGGAGCAGCAGCTCTCAGAGCGGGGGGCCGAGTGCAAGGAGGCGGCCTCCGTGCGCAGGGAGGTGGAGGAGCTGCGGACGCTGACCCGTGACCAGGAGCAGAAGATGACCCAGACCCAGGCTGAGCTGTCCGCCCTGGAGGCCGTCCTGGCTCTGCTGCACCTGCAGGAGGTGGGCCAGCTTTCCACTCCCACCCACAGGCTGAGTTTTGTTTCTGGTGTCTGTGTCCAAACCCTGATCCTGGAGTCAGTCTAAAAATAACAAACCCGACTGTGTGTTTGATTGCTGATCCTGTTGAAGAAAGGGAGCCTCAGGCTTCTTTTTTGCTTTTTCATTTCTGAAGGCTCCTGCAGGACCAATCTGCTCCAGTCCATGCATGCTGCCCCCAGTGGACTATTCAGGAGCTGCACATCTGCTGAAGCTGAAGCCAGGTAGGCTCCAGATCCTTCATCAGCTGTAAGGCTGAGCTTCAGAGCTTCTTTTTCTGATGCCGTTGCATCGATTCCTCCATTTTACAGCAGTAGACAAACCGTTTCATGAATCTGTTCCCGTTTTAGCAGCAGTTGACCCGTCACTCGTCTTAATGAATAACTTTGAACAATATATTATGTTTTATGGAATCAAACTTCCACATTCTTCCTTAGACTGTGAAATAGAACGTTATGGTTGGTAAGTAGAAATTCCTAGAATCTTTGATTTCGGTAACCTAATTTTAAAAAATCCTTGCCTTTAGAATTTAAAAATTTGTGCCAATATAAATATCCAACATTAATATTGTTGTGTATTTTCACCACCTGCATTGCTCCTCTGTTTCAAACACACCTCAATCCTACAACGCATCAGCATCACATGAGCAAATAAATACGACATGACCAGATGAAAAATTAACATTGGTTATTAAAATCAGCCCAGTTTTTTGTATTGGACCGATACCAGCCTGTTAAAACTGGACTAATGCCGGTCAATACTGATGTACCGTTCCGTGCAGTGCGAAAGCGCCTTTAGAGTTATTTGTACATACAAATTACCTGCTAACAATAAATAATGAATAATAACCAAAAAGATAAAGTTACATCCCAGTATTCCAAAGGGACACCAGCATGGATAGTTGGTGTTTTTCTGGATAACGTACCATGTGCCACTGCTTCCAGGTGAGGGCTACCAGCAGCTGCTGCGGGTCCTGCAGGTGAAGGAGGCCGAGCGGCTCAAACAGCAGAGCCAGAAGGAGCGTCTGCACGAGCGTCTGAGCAGAGCCCAGGAGGAGATCTCCTCCCTGCAGAGCTCCATGGCCCAGAGAGCCTCCCACTACCAGAACCTCCACACGGAGCTGCTGGAGCGGGGCAGTCAGGCCACCGACGCTCAGAAAGAGGTCACTATGCTTTCTCACCGTTACTCCTCAGCCCTTTGGAGCGACACTAAAGATGGTCAGAGATATAAATCTGAGCAGCACATACACTGTAGATGGTGGCATTCCTTTTAAGGAACAAGGTGCCCGAAAGCCGACAGCGGTGATGTGTAATGCTAACGATCTCATTTACATCTTAATTTATCCAAAACTGTAGCTATGTATTTCTCAAAACGGGCAAATACTGACAGTGATTCTAATATTTTTATCCAAGGCAAAAAAACAAAAACAAAAACATTATAAATAGTACAACACTTCTAATATTTAAGCATTTTCTTGGATTCACAATCTAAACGAGTGAAACAGATTGTGAAAAGAATACAATTTAATCTAATTATATATATATATATATATATATATATTAGAAAGTACAAAGTTATACTTTGATACCACTGTGGTGTATTCTGTCAGTGTCTTGAAGATGCTGGTGTGGTGATGCTTCAGGCAGAATTCTGGACTTTGGCTGGACAGCAAAGTTTTGTAACAAACAGCCGCCTACGTCAGCACAAACGAATCGCAAAGGAAATCTTGGTCCAGTCATAGTGAAGTCCCTCCGATCGCTGGACAGCATCTCTTTTACAGACTTCTGGCCAACACACACTCCCCAAAGTAAACATCATCACATAGCCATGTCCTAGATATGGGCATGTTTAGGTCTTGGTGGTGCTCTGTCTGCTACTGCATCTGGAGTCTATAGACTAAACTTGTTTTTCAAACTTGATGTCTTTTGTCCCAAATGTTCCTCTTGAACATTACCAAAAAAAAAGTCCATCTGTATGATCAGACACTACACCATGATTACACCTCATATGACATATTGTATAACATGTTTTGTCATTGGCTTGCAAAACAGTTATCAAAACAACCAGTTGAAATGGTTTATAAATGAACATAAAAGCTGTTGAATAAAAACCCTAAAATCCTATTTTCACTTCTCATCTCATTTAAAAAAAAAAACACAACAACTTAAAAGTGGCTTTTGGAAAAATATTTTGGCCAAAAATATCAACATTGAGTATATGTATAGATATGTAGATTTTAAGATGGTTTCATGTATTTCTTATTCTGTAGTGTCAGTGTGTGTGTGTGTGTGTGTGTGTGTGTGTGTGTGTGTGTGTGTGTGTGTGTTTTAAATCCTTTTATTTACCATTATCCTGCCTGTCAATGGGACCAGAGATGTAATTTAGCCACTGAGCTATAATCTTATGCATTTACATATAATGTTAATAGTTATTGTCCCATGTCTAAAAATAAACTTGAACATGCTGGTGACCCTTTTCTAAAACATTAGACGCCAGGAAAATGTTGAGAGTTCTGGAAATAAAAAAAAGAAGAAGAATATATATTTTTTTCTCTTAATATGCACGTGTCAGATGTTTTTTCTTTCCCTGTTTTACTTTACATCAGTTAAAAAGAAAAAGCGCTCGGGTCGCTGCGCTGGAGAAACAGCTGCAGGAAAAAAGCTCTGCATACAGTCTGGCCGCTCTGAAGAACACCGAGCTGGAAAACGAGCTGAAGGTACAGTCACTCAAACCTTTTTACTTTAACTTCATCAGCCGTGCCCCTGAAGCTGCGTTTCCATTAGCCATAAAATTGTGCATGCTGAAAGTACGAAAATACATTTGCTTAATGGAAACACGGCTATTTAGAAAAAAAAATAAAAATCACGTTTTCAATAAAAAGTTTTTTGCGCCAGAATGAGGTGTTGTTCTTTTTCAGCCGTATCAAAATAGGCGGAATTCGCAAAACTGCTACAAAAACACTTTTTTCCACATCATATGTGTCACATGTTACTACTGGCGAAAACGTCGAAGAAGACGACAGGAAGTAATAGGAGGATGATGGCTTGCTTTTTTTCCCAGACAATGTGCAGCTGGCTCCACCAGTTCTCTCAACAGCATCACACAGTTCATAAAAAGTTTTGTGTCATTCCAATGTGTTGAATCTAAGTCTTCTGTAAAGTCATAGACTACAGTCTCCCCAAAATGCCCAAGTAGGCGGGGCTTATGGTTCCAAAGGCTGAATAAGACATCTCCTCTCACTGGCTGAATTCTGAATATATCTCATGTAAGTGTTTACATCAGTCACTGCTTCGCGAGTTTTAATGACTTATTACGCGAACAAGCTTCTTCACAAATTAATATCATTTCTTAATGGAAATACCGCAGTTGCCAATGGTTTTTCGTCATTAGCAGGATAGATACAAAGATTTGTATTGTATTTGTAATGGAGAGGCAGCTAGAGACTCGGGTTCTGATCTGATTACAGGAGAAGAGCAGCAGCGTTCAGCACTACCAGGGTCTGATGAGCAGAAAGCAGAAGGAGCACCAGAAGGCTCTGGATCAGTGCAAACAGACTCACTCTAAGCAGCTGGCTGAGCAACAGCATAGGATAGAAATGGTAACATGAACTCATCAGCTCCTTTGGCAGCAGCATCAGCTAAGCTAACAGCGGCTCTGTGACTTCATGTAGCTGCAGCTGTCTGTGGAGGAGAGCCTGACCCAGATGTTGGAACTGGAACAGCAGCTGGGTTCTGTTCAGATGGAGCGGGACAAGGCTCAGAAAGCTGCGCTGCTGCTGCAGACCTCTGTGGATCGGCTCACAGAGGCAAGGCAGCATGTCGGTTCCATCCCCATACAGGACTGGACAGAGGAGTTTATACGTTGGTGTAACGTTCTGTTTCCTCAATCCAGGAGAAGCAGGTCAAAGTTCGACGCAACCAGGAGATGCTGCAGAGTTTCAAAGATCAGGCTTCTCACTCTGCCACCATGGTTTGTACAGAACACAAAATGGAAAAGTCACAAGAAGTATGTATAGGATTTCTTTTTTTTATGTCTGGGTCAATATGAAAGAAAATCTAAATTTCTAAATCGTATTCCCTGTTAGGATGTCTAAGAGTTTCCATTTGTTCATTTCTTCATCCATCCATCTGACAGGTGCATCTACAGGATTCTAGTTCATGTGTTCAGAAGTGAATGTTTTCTAATTTACAGGAGCCACGAGTAAAACGATGTTGTATCCACCATAGATAACCTGCTGTGTGTTTCTCCACTGCTCAGATATCTGAGCTGCAATCCTGCCTGTCGGTGTGCAAAGAGGAGCTGAACTCGTACCTGCAGCAAATGGAGGAGCTGAAGAGGAACCATGAGACGGAGCTGCAGAGGAAGAATGAAAAGGTCCACACTGAAAACGTCTGTCAGCTGGTTTATCAGGGCACAAGGCAGTTAAACACACACCCCTGTCTTCTCTCCTTGTTGCTTTTTCAGATGTCTTGTCTGCAGGAGAAGCTGCACAGCACCAGCCTGGTCTGTCAGAGCTCCAGTGAGCAGAACCTGCAGCTGCAGGAGTCTCTGCAGCAGCAGCAGACCATGCTGACCGAGAGCACGGCTCGGGTCTCTGAGCTGGAGGAGAGCCAGAGCCATCTGCAAAGACAGGCGAGGCTGACACACACACACACACACACACACACACACACACACACACACACACACATCACAGAGCTGTGTTAGAAGCTCAGGAGTACCTAGAAGAATTTGAGGAATTTTGGATTTTCGACTGCAAATGACCCAGCTCCACCTTGGAGGTGCAGCTCCTCCTCCTACCTGCAGTTTCCAAGCTTCCGCCTCACAGAGCAGCCCCTGGAAGGCTCCATCCAGCTCCTTCAGACTAGCCAGCAGCAATTAGCAAACACCTATGGAATTGTTCATCAGCTGAGCTGGTCAGTACAACGTTGTTAAAGAGTTAATGGAGGAGCCATGTTTGGGTGACTTCCTGAAGGCAGAATTTCAGAAAGATCAGGAGTTTTTAAAGAGACAGAGGCCCAATTTTAAAGTGTTAAATTATAAAGTCAAATTCAAATAATATTTTAAATGTATACAACATTTTTATAACAACTGAAGGTGACATAGTTACTTGATTGTGCTGTAAAATGGCTCAGTGTTGCTAGAAAATACGCAACACTGGCCCTTTAATCTGTCAAAACTCACCACTTTTTCCACTTTTGAATCTCATTATGTAGGTAATAGAAAAACACTTTCCTGGCCGTGTTTTTCCAGTCAACAGCTGACTTTGTGCTGTCTGTTCCAGGTGTCTGGTTTGGAGCAGCAGCTGGAGCGAACGTGGGCTTCTCTACAAGATGAGGTCCGGAGCAGAGGCCTGGAGGCCCAGGCTGCGGAGAGAAACCTACAGGAGACGACCGAACAGAACACACAACTCTCCAAATCCATCAGGTCCCAGACAGAGGAGCTAGGATCACACAAAGCTCCTCATACTACCTGTTTTCTGTATCATCCCTCTAATAAAATACTCATTCTAACACTCTAGAATACATTAAAATGACATTATGATGTGTAACTTTTGTAATATAGCAAAAACCACATCATGATAAGCATAAGTCCCACTCAGACGTTGGTCTGTTTAGTTCATTCCAGCTTCTGTTTGTGAACGGTTTTGCTTCTCTTGTAGGACAAAATACACAAGCCTTTCTCTGTTGGTTTTAGAGCTATGCTTTCAGTTAAAGCTTGAAACTTTACCTCATGTTCTGCTTTATATGTCTGGGCAGTCATCTCAGATTGAAGATGGAAAAGCTGGAGGTGGAGCTGGAGCACCTGAGGAGCCAAGTGGCTGCAAAGGCAGAGCAGATCATCGGCTTGGAGCAGAACCTGCAGCACACCCAGAGCCAAGTCATCAGCAAGACCTCCAAAGGTTAGACATTCAGGATCAGTTTGGAAAAAAAACGGGACGATGTTTTCAGCATGTCCTCTGTCAGCCTTATCTTTGTCCTTTATCAACTCTCATCTTCCTCCAGTTGAGGAACTTGAGGAGAAGCTCCATCGCTGTGAGGAGGAGCGGCTCTGCAGCATGCAGAGAGTAAAGGTCCTGGAGGGCGAGCTGCGCTCTGTGCAGGCGGAGCTGGACGACACCGTGGAGCGGGTACAGGAGCTGCAGGACGACCTACAGAGGACCCAGACCGTCTCTGACCAACGGCAAGCCCAGGTGGACAAACTGGGCGTGAGGCTGAGGTGAGGGGAAGTCCACGTGTGGAAAAATCCCTCTGTGCACGACACGAACAGAAGATCGCATCAGCAAGTCTGCTGCTCTGAACATCTATGGAAAACAATGCAAATTGTCCATCAATGCTTATAAATGCTTAAAAACTGTGTGTGTGTGTGTGTGTGTGTGTGTGTGTGTGTGTGTGTGTGTGTGTGTGTGTGTGTGTGTGTGTGTGTGTGTGTGTGTGTGTGTGTGTGAATTTTCAGTGAGACCCAGAGGGAGTTGGAGGAGAGAACTCATGAGGTCTTGGACATGGACAACGCCCTGAAAGAAAGACAGGAGGAGCTCCAGCAGAGAGCCAAGCTGGTGCAGCACATCTTCAATCACCGCCATTAAACGTTTGTCTCATCTACCAGCTGTCCTCACTGCCGTGTCCCCCTCAGCTCAGCCAGTTGGACGAAGCCATCAGGGAGCACAAGCTGGAGATGGACAGGAAGGTGGAGGTCCTGCAGCAGGAGCTAACGCAAAGAAATGCCAAGGTCAGAGAACCTGTCCTGTCCTCTGCTTTTTATTCGTTTTAGCCTCAAGTTTCCATCCAGAGACTTTAGGGAAGAAAAAAACAAAAAAACATATAAAGGTAATTTGAAAAGTACATTTTTGCTGGTTTTATAATAAATGTTGTTCCTTTTTATACAAAAAGAATATGAATTAATTTAAATTACATTTATAATGACAACTTCATTCCAGTACAGTTAAACTAACTTCTCTCAGGCTCGTCTAAACCCGACTCATTTCCCGTTCTAGCGGATGATCGATCCGAAACACAGAAATGATGCAAACTCCCAAACACATGAGCACAAAACTAATGCAAAATGCTGCAAACACAGGAAGCAAAAGAAAAAGGGAAACTGGCATAAATACAGCAGAGGCAGCAAGTATGAAACTCTGCAAACTCGTTCCATAGAGCAGTTTTTCTCCAGACCACTAGGGGGAGTCGACCACCAAATCATACAGGAGCAGACCCTCAGTAAAGACCGATGTCAAGATTTAACAGGATGTCCAGGAGAATTAGGAGGAAGAAAGAAAAGGTGCATTATGCTTGATGTCATTTTTCAACAGTAGCATATTTATGTAGGTTGTGTCACCCAGTCCAGACTCCCCCAGTGGTCTGGAGCTCTTCCATTTTGTGGAGCGAGTTTGCCGCATTTCATTCTTGCTGTTCTTGTTTCTATTTACAGCATTTTCACTTTCTGTCTATTTCATGTGGTTGCAGCATTCGTTGTTTGCATTGTTTTTCTGTGGAATTAGTTTTTTTTCTTGTGATTATGTGTTGTTGTTTTTTGCATCATTCATGTGTTTGCTGCCCATTTCCACCTGTCTGTCACTTTAGAAACACCAAACAGTCAGCTGTAACTGAGACTTTCACTCAGGGCTTTTGAACATAAAAACACTTTTAAGATCTTTATTAGTTAAAATGACACACATCATTTTCATTCCACTTCTGATAAGTCTGGGATTGTAATTTGACAAAATGTCAGTGGATGTAAAAACTTTGCATAGCACAGTATACAGTTCAAACATCCCAGTCAGAACTTCCCAAACATGCAGCTTTTGTTTTGATAGAAGTGAGGAGACAAGTTCCCGTGGAAACACGATGGGCATCACTAATTTATATAGTTACTGAGATTTGCTGGATCTTCCTGTCTGCTCCTGTTTCTGTGCTGTTAGGAGACAGAGGAGCTCAGCCAGCAGCTGTCTGAGTGTAAGCAACGGCTTCAGAAGGCCCTGGACGAACTGGAAGCGAGTCGGCGTGACCGTGACGCTCTGAGCAGAGAGCTGGACGCCACCAAGCTGCAGATCAGGGAGACGGTGAAGCCACATGTTGCTCTGACTTCTGGGACTGTTAGCTGTTGGTTTCCCTGGGATTTACTGGAATAGTTTGAGAATGAGTCATTTTTCCATTCCCTTCAGCTGCCTTCGTGTTGCGTTTATGATTGTGGTGTGTGTGTGTATGTGTGTGTTTTTGCAGGAGACCCAGCTGCGCAGCGTAGTGGAGGAGCTACTTCGAAAGGAGTCTGGGTGGCTGCAGGAGGAGGAGCGGCTGCAGAGCACGCTCTCTGCTCTGGAGCAGGAGCTGGAACTGGAGAAGGAGCAGCACAGTAAAGAGGTACACCTCCTCTACCTCCACCACCTCCTCCCTCCTGACACCAGAGAAGGGAATATACTTTACTGTCCCCTAGGGGACACTTATCACAGACTCGAGGGTGTACACTGCATAGTAGCAGCTGCCCAAACAAACAGTAAATACACATACAAACAGCTTGACTACATAAACAACAGTTTAAATTTAACAAAACAAAACACCAAAGTTACTGCACACGCTGCACCTCAACACGCTCTGTTTAAAAAGAGTGTTTTCTGCTTTGTTCTTTAGAATTAAAATATCTATGTTGAAATAACAATTGTTTTTGTTAAATTACTTTAGAAGATCCTGCTAATTTAAATGTTGGACATTTCTATTTATTTCTGAAGACATTCAGTCAGTTACACAAAACATGACAAGAACAGGACTGTTCTTGTCATGTTACAGCTTAAAGGGGCAGTATTTTATAAAATCAACTTTTTTTAGCTTTACATCATGTAATAACGTTATTCCCTCGTCAGAAACATACCTGTAGTGTTACTTTGATTCTTTCATGTTTGCTTGAGAAATCCTTTAATCTCCCGTGGCAACCATTCAGCTGTGCAAAACGCCTGGGTGGACCTAGCGTCGCAACCCTCCCTCAAAACTCTGCAACTCAGCTCCTTCAGACTAGCCAGGAGGAATTGGCAGACACCTGCTGTTGAGCTTATTATAGGAGCTACTTATCAGAGCAATGCTGGTTAAAAAAATATTGTTAAAGGGTTAATAGAGGAGCCAGGAAGAGCAGGGGTTTTTAAAGAGACAGAGGCCCAATTTCAAGGCATTTAATCACGCCGTCAAATTTCTTTTAAGTCATTTGATGTATATAGCATTTTTATAACAACTGAAGTTAACATAGTTACTTCATTGTGCTATAAAATGGCAGGATGTGGCTGGAGAATACATAATGCTGCCCCTTTAAGAAGTTATCCAGGTGAAAAACTAGACACCTGTCAGGACTGAGCTGTTTTATCTCCTCCCTGTAGATGTGGGGCGGTTTGGTCCCCCACCGCCTGGGGGCCAAACACCATCAACTGTGTTTTTTTTTTGTTTTTTTTTATGGTAGCAATGAGATAACATGGGTCACATTCTCCTCTGACTGAAGTCAGGATTTCATGCTTGAGATTTGGAAATTGTCTCGTCACCTGGAAGACATGACGGCGGTTTTTCATGAGAATTTCAGTCTCTGCCTCATCAGTCCGTGTGTTTCCTGTTGGTCTGTGTTAGAACAGCTGCTGTGGGTTTGCAGTGACTCCGGTGTCACCGTTGTTCCTCACACGCTGCTGTTCTGTCTCATCTCTATTCCTGTTCTTGGTGTTTTTACCCAAGGGAAACCTTCTGACATTATGTTTTTCTGCTGGGGTTTTATGTAATTCACTAATGCACAGTATTGCCTAACAGGAAAATGATTCACATTTTTTTTTCTTTTTTTTTGTCTTCATTTACATTCACCTTATTACCTGGTTATGTAACATTTCAAATTTAATAGAGAAATAATTCTAGATAAAGAGAAACTGGAGTGCAAAACACCATTAGGACATTTCTTAAAGTAGATATTGACATAATTTACATGATTTAATAAAAAATAAAATAATACTCCAGTCCTATGGAGGTGTGCCTCTACCAGCTTTGCTTAGTCTTCGTCAGATCGGCTTTAGAGCATAATGACTGTGATTCTCATTCAAATTCTGATCTGGGCTTTGATTAGGCCTTTTTATCACATGAATATGCATTAATCTGTAAAGGGATGTTGGATGCTGTGTGAATGCTTTTGTGAGACCCTGTGTCCTGACCGTGCTGCTCTCCGTCGTCCTGCAGCTGGAGTCTCTGCAGCAAACGCGGGGCCAGCTCCTCAAAGTGTCGGAACAGATCTCCTCCACCATGCGCTCGTCCCAGGAGCAGCTCACCGCCACGCTCCAGCAGAGCCAGGCCCAGCTGGAGGAGGCCAGGGCGCAGTGCAGCCGGGTCAAAGCCCAGCTGGACCAGGCCGAGATCGAGCTGGACTACAGCCACAGCCAGGCCAGCCACCTGCAGGCGCAGCTGGACCAGAGCCAGGCGCAGCTGCTGCAGAGCAGAACCGAGCTGGAGGACAGCAGGGTTCTGTGTGAGCAGACCAGAGTCCAGAGCAGCCACCTCCATGCGCAGCTGGAGCTGCTCTCCGCGCAGCTTCAGCAAAGCCGAGCGCAGGTTTCCCAGCTCCAAACTCGGCTCCAAGCCTCGGAGAAGTCTGCAGAGATGTCCGTCGATTCGCTGCTCATCAAGGTACGTTTTATCCCAGAACCGCATGGTTCACCGGCTGCCTGCGCTTCCTTAACAAGTCTTAAAATCATTTAAAAATAAAAATAAAAAAACAGTGACTTAAATACATTAATCACATACATCTTACCATGAGCTACGTCAGTGCTATGCTGATAAAAAATGTTAAAGTTTTATTAGAGGAGTCATGTTGTGTTGACTTTCTGAAGGTGGAGTTTCAGAGAGTTGAGGAGTTTTAAAAAAATCAGAGGCCCAATTTTAAGGTGTTACTATATAAATTCAAATTTAAGTCATTTTTGTCATTTTTGATATATCTGGTATTTTTAATAACAGCTGAAGGCAAAATAGTTTTTTGACTGCATCATAAAATGGCACTCTGTGCCTGGAAAACAAATAATACTGACCCTTTAAGTTTAAGCTTATTATGCAGAATGAGAAGCTCAAAGCCACAAACTCCAGAAATTTCAGTCTTTGCTACATTTGATTGTAAAAGAGTTGTATCCTCACCTCAATATTACAATTACCTCTTATATTTCTAGGGTTTTTTTGTCTTAAGTTTCATTCAAGGTGGCATAAGAAGTCTTATATATGACTTTCTGAAACCTGCAGGAAGCCTTTGACTGTTCCTCTTGTTTCAACGTGTTTCTTGCTGGTTTTCCTCCTATGCAGGAGTCAGAGGTGACCCGCCTCCAGGCTCGGATCTCCAGTCTGGGACGAGCAGCAGAGAGAAAGAGCCTCTGCAGCCACTCTGCCTCCGTCACTGAGCCTCCGGAGCCCTCCTTCTCCTCTCAGCCGTCTCTTCCTTCCTTCAGACTCCTACCGGCCTCCATCCACTTGTCTCCACGCTCTCACCCGGCGCCCCTGTGCTCCCCGACACACGACTGGCCTCAGAGCGCCAGCTTACACTCCTCTACGGACTTCCCTCACAACCTTAGGGGGGCGCTGATCAGGGAGCTGTGGGACTCTTCCTCTGCGTCTGGTTCGACGTTCCCAGGGTCGGCTGACCAAAGCTGGCGGGGCCTCAGCACCACCGAGGCCTCGGCGACGTCCAATGCCTCGTTCGACCCGCTCACGTACTTGGGGGACAAACCCAACGATGCAGACGTCCACGCAGAGGCACCGGTGGGACGGCAGGGGGATTACCAGCCGCTCACTGAGTCCAGGAGGGAGTCGGAGGGGACTCTGATGGGAGAGGACGAGGGAGAGGTGGACATGAGTTCACTGACCGGGATGCTGAGGTTTGTGAATCAGACTCTCGCCATGCAGCAGGATCCGTCTCCATGGAGCCCCATAAAGCAGACCTGACTCTCTGCGACTCTGCAGGTAAAAAACACCTTCAATTAGCTGATTGATCAATGAAAGCTTGAAAACTTGGTTTTGTTGTCTGAAATGGGAAGTATCAGAGTAACAGTTACTGACATCTAGTGGTCGAGTTGGAGATTCACCTGTTTTCTGCCTTCTATCGACGTTCGCAAGCCATTTTGTTAAAATGCAATCACAAGCTTCAATGTATTTTATGAGATTAGTCAAAAATAGGAGCGCATAATAAATTTTACCATGATACCCTGAACACAACATTTTTTTCCTGAAACATAGTGGTGGCAGCATCATGCTGTGGGATGATTTTTTTCCCCCTGCTGGTTAGAGTTGATGAGAGATGAAGATGGAGCCTAAAGACCAATGTAAAGATCTAGACCTGAGAACTCATGTGTTAGCACGGTCCAGTCAAAGTCCAGACCTGAATCCCACTGCAAAGATTAACTGACCAGCTGCAAACTGAGTTACAGATGCTCTCCATTTTGTCTGACAGAGATTTTTCTTTTTTTTTTTTTTGTGCAAAACTGAAATGAAACGGGCTTTCATGAAATACTCCCTCATTAGTTGAAAGTGCATGCCACACTTTTTAGATTTGTATTTGTTTGAAAAGAAAAAACTAAGGGTGATCTGCTGTAATTGAACTTTAGTTCATCTGCCTAGAAAGCCCAGTTTGTTTTACGGAGCTGAGAATAGATGATCAAACTGTGATGAGGACCAAACGGTGAACTCTGGTTCGCCCACAGACCCAGGTCTCTGGTTCAAATGTACTCTGGTCAAGGTCGAATGCATATGTGACCAGCGGAGACCGCTCCAAACGCAGGAAGCGGACTACAGTGTAGGGCATTCTGGGTAAATACAACCAAAACAAACATGTGAGTGTGGATCCACTGGGAGAAATCCAACCGGTGAAATCTGATGTCACTCCATGTTTGTTTACATTTTGTGAAGAAGGAAGTTGTTCTCTGTGTCTCCTTCAAAGGTTTTCATATCGTTTCCTTCAGCGGTTTTTGGTGCAGCGCCACCACAGGTGTGGAGGTGAACAGGTTTTTCAGTGTGAAAGAGAATTATAGCAGCAGAAACAAATGTTGCAACTTTGATCACCAATCAAACCGAGTCTACAGGACTATCAGGTGTGAAAGTCTCATTGTCCTTCTGTTCCACAATAATGTGCCACTTTGGTTCGATCTATAACATGAAAACTCTATAAAACACTTTAAAGGTTTGTGCTTATGAAGTCACAACAGTCCAATATAAACCTGGATGTGTGTATCTCTGGTATCATCTTTTTTTTTCCAAGTGGAAGAAGCCACACCAGTGTTTGACTAACCAAGGATCACATTGTACCTTCAGGTTTTCACTTCTAGTTTCACACACTGTCTCTTGTTTTTGTGTCATGCAATGAACTTTGAATTCTGGATTTCTTAATCACTTGGATCTTTATGTGACGCAGCCTTCAGATAGTACCTCTAATAGTATCTGAAATGTGTTTTAATGCTGTTATCTGGCTGTCATCAGCCTATTAGCCACTAAGTCCTCGGTTTTGTTGACGAGCTTTGAGACTGTCAGTCACACTGATCGCTTTCACGGCCACCTCTGTGGGGGAGGAGAGGAACAAAACTTTCAACACCAGGAACATTGAGCAATAAAAACTTCTTTAGGTTGTTTAGTTGGTTTATTGTTTAGAGGGTCATGTTTGGCAAAGTAAGATAGGTATTTATATAGAAAACGACGCAAAACTATGCCTACTTCCTGAGCTTTTTTTTACATTCATGCTGCAACCACAAACTTCAGTGTATCTTACTGTGAGTTTATGTGGCGGAACAGCACAACCTGTGAAGAGGAAGGAAAACGATATGCGACTTTCAAAAGGTTTTACAAAACTTGTTTTTAAAAAAGTGTGTTGTGCATTTCTATTGAGCCCCTCCAGGCTAGCAGTTAATAAAGTCACATTTTACTCCAGTTATAGTTTTGATTCCCTGCAGCATGATGCTGCCACCACCGGGTTTCCCTGATGGGGGTGGTGTGTTCAGGAGGATGTTTTACGATGCGTAGCATTCAGCATGTAAAGCATAAAGTGGAATTTAGCTAATTCTTTTATCATCTGAACAGAGTACCTTCATGTTGGATTCATGCAGCCTCTATGACTTCCTCTCTTCTTGCTGTGCTGCTTCAGTTGTTTACTGACTTTTATCAAATCACATTACAACATATGCAGAGAGACAGAGCCTCTGTAAATGTAAACCGTGATGACCCAAGAAAAATTTGTCACTGCAAACGTTGAAGTCTGGCTGACTTTATGAAATAGTTTCAAGTTTTACTCAGAATTAAGATTGTCATGGTAACACATTTCCTGGTCGATACATTGCCCCAGTAACTATTGAGATAAACTCTAATATTGTTTTGAGACCATTTTCAAATAATATATTGATAATAGCATAATAATGCAAGTTTGCCCTGTCAAAGATAAACTGAGATCTTTTAAGTATTCCCCCCAAAAACAAACTAAACAAATAAAAAGGAAATTAAAACCACACATGATCAAAACCATAAATTAAATGGGTTGTGATGTGTCTTTAAACAAAATTGCACTTCAAAAAATATTTCTCATCTGATTGGAAATTATCACGTTCATTTTAATTTATCATATGATGAATTGACTGATGTTTTTTGTAACCCAGGATGCCTGACAGGCACTTTCCTTCTGTCTTTCAGGGATCTGACTGCATGGGGAGCACAGCAGCCAACCTAAAATGTTGGTTGGTGTGTATTTATAAACCTTTTCCATGTTTTGTCCCTTTATGTGTTAGTGATCAAGATAAATTATTAGAGCATGTTTATGTGACCTCTTTAATTGCACTTAGTAAAACATGGATTCTTTAGTTCAGCAGAATGTAGCATTTGCATTTTATTTAACATTGTTAACTACTGTTTGTAAATGTGAATAGTTTTCTTATTAAAATCTGCCAATTAAAGAGTTTTTACATAAACTGAGGTGACTCTTGGCGATGATGCGTTCCAATGAAAATCTCTGGAAGTTCCCACGCTGTGCTGGAGCATCAACAAACTGCTCTCTGACCATGGAAGGAATGTTTGGCACACAGCTCCATGTGGGCAAGTGAAATTATGATCACATGTGAACACAGAGCAAAAACATCAGAAAGGTTTGATCCCGTTTGGATTGAAAACATCTTTAGACTGCACCTTTAGTAGGATCCTGGTAATGTTGTTAATAATAAAATTATGGTAACATTTTTTTGAAGGGGTGTGCATAAGACTGACATGACACTGTCATAAACATGACATAATATCTGTCATGAACATAAACAAGTCTTTATGAATGTTTGACAGTTGTCATGAATTGTCATTCGGTAAATAATGACACTTTTAATGCAAAGTTGCTCTAAAAGTCCATTGAAAGTGCCAACTTAGCATGATTTTGTAAATTATGATAATTTACTGAAAAAAGAGATAGTATCTCGTTATTTTTGAAGGCATCTCGTTATTTCGAGATGGCATCTCGAAATAACAAGATACTATAACGAGATACTATCTTGAAATAACGAGACACCATCCCGAAATAACGAGACACCATCTTGAAATAACGAGATGCTTGTTATATTATCTCATTATTTTGAGATACTATCTCGAAATAACGAGATATCATCTTGAAATAACTAGATACTATAACAAGATGCCATAACAAGATAGCATGTCGAAATAAGATATCATATTGAAATAAGATTCCATTTCGAAATAACGAGATACCATAACAAGATAGCATGTCGAAATAAGATATCATATTGAAATAAGATTCCATTTCAAAATAACGAGATACTATAACAAGATACCATAACAAGATAGCATGTCGAAATAACAAGATATCATATTGAAATAAGATTCCATTTTGAAATAACGAGATGCTATAACAAGATACTATCACGAAGTAACTAATATACAATCTCGATACAATCTCGAAATAACGAGATACTATCTCGAAATAATGAGATATCATATTGAAATAAGATTCCATTTCGAAATAACTAGATGCTATAACAAGATACTATCATGAAGTAACTACATACTATAACAAGATACTATCTCGAAATAACGAGATACTATCTCAAAATAACAAGATACCATATCGAAATAACGAGATATATTGAAATAAGATTCCATTTCGAAATAACTAGATGCTATAACAAGATACTATCACAAAGTAACTACATACTATAACAAGATACTATCTCGAAATAATGACACACCATCTCGAAATAACGAGATGCTTGTTATATTATCTCGTTATTTTGAGATGGTATCACGTCATAGTATCTCGTTATTTTTAGATGGCATCTTGTTATAGTATCTCGTTATTTTGAGATAGCATCTCGCTATTTCAAGATAGTATCTCATTATATTTCGTTATATCTCATTATAACGAGATACAATCTCATTATGAGATCATTTATTTCTTTTTTTTTTTATCAGAGTGGTGGAAGTGGGCTTCCGTAGCTAGAAAAGACATAAATTCTGGAAACTTTCTGCATCAACACGCAGATGTCTTTACACTTGTTTTTTGGGGTGGGGTTTATAATAACTCTTGAAACTGTCATGTTTATGTCACTACATAAGCATGTTTAGCACTACATGCCCGCAATGGGAGGCTGGAGTTTTATTTATTTATTTTCTGAACAAATACACCTGGTCTTAAGCTTAATCTGATATTAAAATCAATGAATGTAATTATTGGTATTATTACGAGAGGAAAAATTTTAAAGCTTATTAACGCTTTTTAAAACCTTTTGACTCGCTATGTCCTCTCTTATGCCCGGATTCAGAAAATGCTGTGCACAAAGACTGAGATCACACAGAGATAACAGCGTCACAATAATCAGCATTTAGTCAAGACAGATGCATACTATCACCATAAAAGCACATCACAAAACATCAGAAAACTCAGAGAGAGAGAGAGAGAAAAAGACAAAAGATGGAAACGACAAACAAAAAGCAAAGACGTCTTTGGAGAAGTTGCAAAGAGCAAAATCTAATTTGTTACTTCTGTGTAGAAAGTTTTATAGTAAAGGCGTATTCTTGTCTTTTAATTTATTCAAATAAGGCGTATCTTTGCTCATCCAACCAGGAGCTGTCTCGGCCCTCTTAAAAGTTAGAAACTCCCTACAATTTGTTTTCAAGATCAAACATCAGTTGTCACCTTTATCTAAACAAAGTGGAAGCAGAGCTTCTCCTTCACTGGCTTGAACTCATGTGATTTTATGGCTTTTCACAGATCAGTGTGAAAGCTGGAACTTCTCCTGATTCTTTCCCACACATACAAAAGGGCATATCAAAAGATTTAGCAGGCAATCTGCTATAGTTACAGGTAACCTAAAGATTAGTCCAAAAACTATATTTAGGCTATTTTAATCAAGACATGTTAAGTTTTAAAGCTAGCATATTTTAAATTTATTTTCTTAATAGTATGAACAAAAGTAGCAAAGCAAAAATATCAGAACATATAGCAGATTGAATTTAGCGTATTTAGTGTCTCTGAGCTCTGAGGTGTGGTGAAGCTTTTATTTTGAAAGCAGGTTTATACATGGCCTATTCAAAGGCTCTAATGCATTCAGTGGTTTCGTCTCTAACTATTCTGTCAAACCAAAGACACCAGAATTTTGTTTTCTCACCCGAAGTGGTTTGAGACTTGAATTGCTGATGGTAAACATATGAATATTTTCTACCATCATGATGAACAGAAGCTAAATGAAAGTAGATCTTTCTAAAGCTCTACAAATGAAAACTTACACCATTATTTGCATCTATTATTAATTGTTTAAGAAGCACATCTGACTTTGTTCAGATGTGCTGTTCTGTTTTCTCTGACTGAGCTAGCTGAAGTTGTGGAGTATAGAGGATGTGGTTGAGACGGTGGTGAGTTGCGTGCAGTAGTGCTCTATTCTCACTCTGAAACTTCCCCAGCCTGTCAGAAACGGCTCTGCTGTTTTCTCCTGTTTGCACAAATATAATGGTGCAAAGATAATGATTGCTATTTCTGGTGGACGTGAGATATGCTTACTATTGAAAAGACACAACATTTATAGTAAGGAGCCGTGCACATTTAAATAGTATTACCAGTAGTAACAGCGCAGTCAGAATAAAATAGATGAATTGAAGTGTTAGTTTATTGAATATGATAAAAAAAGAAGTAAAAATAAGTTCAGGAAAAACTTCACACAACTAAATTGCTTGGCTACACAACGCTAAAACAGGCATGCTGTATTTGGCCCCTTACCAATAAAAATAATCATGGAAGGATTTCTATGTACACTCTGCTTGTCGCACATGATGACCAGAAGAATCAGCTCTCGGAAACAAAAGCTTCTTCTTCACTCTGCCAGGCTCTACTTTTCACAAATTTCACTCACTGATGATCAGAGCTGGTAGAGACAAACCCTAAAAGAAACTGCAGCACAAGATGAAAAAGTATTCACTTTGGGTAAATACTTTTGCACGCTCCACTTTTTCAGTTTTTTTATTTGTACAAAATGGTTTGAATGATGTATCATTTTCTTTCCAGTTCACTGTCACTTTGTGTTGTGTTGTTTTTTTCACATAAAATTCCAATGAAATACATTCATGCTTGTGGTTGTAATGTGACAAAACATGGAATAGGTCAAAGGGTGTGAATACTTTTGCTAGCCACAGAAGACCCAGAGTTCTTGCAGAGGAAGACGAGGTTGACTCAGTGCAACATACGTCTTCATCAGTCAGACAGCCTGAGCAAAGAAACTGATTCTGCTTTTTGCTAACAGCATTCTGCAGCAGCGACCTGAAGGGAAATTGTTTGTGTCCAGGATGTGTGGGCTCTGTAGAAATGTAGCTGCCCTTTTGCTAACTTTGGACCCGTTAGTGACTTGGATGGAGAAAATCACCTTAAAAAGTTAATCTTACAAGTTTGAAAGTTTAAGATGTATAAAGGTTTTTGCTCTGATGTCCCAAAAAGGCTGAGCGCTCCGGTTAAATTCTTGTTCCAGGGATTCAAGTTCAAAAATACTTTATTGATCCCAAAGGGAAATTAAGCAGATAATACTGAGGGACCTCCCATGCACACTCCTTTGTTCCCTTCTCCAATCCATGTCATTAACTTTATTTTCTCTCTCTTATTGTCTGTTTGCTTGTTTTCTCCGTCTTCCTGTGGGTTCCTGGAATCTCTGGTTTTCTATCTGTTTTCTGGGATCTGCTCGCGGTGGAGCTTCTCTTTACATCCTTTGTTCTCACCTCTCTTTGTTGCCTTCTAATATATCTGAGCTTAAGAGACAAAAGAATACATTTAGTTACACTAATCTATTTTTCACATAATCTCAAATTTGAGTAAATTGAATATTTCCATAATATAAAAATCAAAAGGAGAATAGGTATATAGGCTAAAGTTTGTGAGCATTAGCAGTGTTTCAAAGGCATGTCTTTTTACTTGATGGCTAGCTTGTCCTTGGTTCGCTAAGCTAACATGATGCTAATGGTGCATTCCAATTCTACTTGAAATCAGAATTTCCAATATCCATCATAGAAAACTCAACTTCCAAACCTCCTCAGCTCAGATCTCCATCTTAACAAGCTGGAGATTCCTGACCGGTCCCGAGCTCAGATTCCAGTTCAGCCATGTCTAAACATAGTACAGATTTGCAAATAAAAATGTATGCAAAACTTTCACCAACAGCCATGAGGCCTTTGCAAAGAACTTGGAGTGAGGATTGCACCTTAGATTGCCTCCTCTTGCTCAGCAGACGGCGAGCCTCAGCGTTGGTGCTCCTCTCGTTGTTTTTGTGTCCTACTTGTTACTTGGAAGATAAAATTTCCAAAAAACTGAACTGCAAAGTTCCCCAAAGTCAGACCTAATTACAGACAATTTACTAAGATGGAGCTACCTCACCGCCCAACACCTGGATTTCCAACATGGCAGCCAACCTACCGATTCATTTAGAAAAATAATTAC